TTTGGAAATTATAACTCATATACATAAAATATTACAATATTATTCTATGAACTTATGATTCTTCTTAATTAAAAACTTATTATTTTATTAACTATTTATGCTGTAAGTTTAAGTCTTTGAAAAATACTGTGTTTTAAGGGCCGTACATTTTCGTATCACATTCGCACGTTCAATACATAATTATGTTATATATTAGTAACCAATATTGCAATTGTACATAAACTATGAAGGAAATTTTGAAAGCATTAATATTGAAAACTAACTGCATTTACGTTATATTTTCAACAACTCGAAATTGCATTTTCATCATAAACATATATAATCGCAATCTTTTCTTTGTAATTATATTAATACGAACAGAAAAATTCTTGAATGAAGATAACCTTTTTCAGAAATAAAACATTTTTCATCAAACCTCTTGTAGCACATGCCGAACATATACATATTATAGTTTTATCTGATTCAACCATATTTTCAACTTTGTAGCAACTCAAAATTTCATTTATTACATAAACACATATGATATAATCGCGATTTTTTTCAAATTCCAAGCATCTATTAGCACGAACAACAAAAGTCTTAAATGAAAATAAGTTTGTTCAAAACTAGAACAATAATCGAACATATCTTATATTATTAAACCTTTTTTCAACTTTGTAGCATCTAAAAATTGCATTTGCAACATTAACACGTATAATCGCAATCTTTTCCTAATTATTAAAACAAACAGCAAAATTCTTGAATGAAGATAACTATTTTCCAAAATAAAACACTTTTCATCAAACCTGTTCTAGCACATGTTGAAGATATATTATAAATGTATATAATTCAACTTTAGTTTTAAGGTTATAGCAACTCAAAATTGCATTTGCAGACTAAACAAGGATAATAATGATATTTTTTTAAATTCTAAACATCTATTAATACGAACAACAAAAGTCTTAAATGAAAATAAGTTTGTTCAAAACTAGAACAATAACCGAACATATCTTATATATTATTAAATCTTACTTTCAACTTTGTAGCAACTGAAAATTGCATTTGCAGCATATAAACACGTATAATCACAATCCTTTTTGCAAATGCTAGGCATATAATACTTCTTTTGTGAGCATATTTTGGTATCGTAATCACAAATCAACAAAATCTTTGGTTGAAATCACCCATTGTAAAATCAACATTTCTTCTCAGTCTTCAGCTCTTGAGTGTCTCTACTTCATTCATTCCAAAGATTCAGTCCTTGCTAAATGATTACAACCATTTTAATTTGATTAATTATTTATTGTACAAATATGCGTTGGTTATTCCATTTTATTTCAATATCTGAATCGGTCGCTTTCTGCTTAAATTAGAAAATGAACATAAATTAAGAATTTTTAATAATAAGAACGAATAATGTCATATACTGTAAAGAATTATGTTTCAAACTTTTGTATACATATAGAGCATTGCAACGTTTTTATAAATAAATCGTAACCGACTTACTTGAAATAAAATGAAATCTATGTATATTTTCTATAACTGCATGACTTGAGTTCGTTGTTCCTCGTTTTCTTAATGTAAGAGAATAATAATACGTTTTTTTGAAATATAGTATTTAAAAAACAATACCTTTGAAAGTATTTAGAAGAGTATGGGCACTTGGTCTTTTCTCAGGTTCGTGAAGAAAACATTCTTTTAAAAGAGATCTTAAATGAATTGGCATTTTCGATAAATTGGGTGCTTTCAAAGTGGAGACAATTCCTCTTAAATTAATTAAATTGTATCCTACCCCAAGAGGCAGAGTCCAGACATTCTTTTGCGAGTATAACTCTACAATAACACAGGCAAGCGACCAAACGTCAGAATAAATAGTAGCTTCTTTGTATTGTATAAGTATCTCAGGAGCCATATAAAGCGGCGTTCCTTGAAAGTTGTGTCCAATTGTGGTGTGAAGCGCAGAAGGCATCGCATCGCATTTACTTCAGCCAAGATCACACACTTTTGTAGTATAGTGTCTATCCACAAGGATGTTATCTGGTTTTATATCTTTGTGCAGTATTGCTGGTCTTGACTCATGAAGAAATGTGATATCATCTAAAACTCAAATTAAAACTAAATGAAAAAAAATAAATCCCTTATATCTTATCAAATATACAAAGCATATGCTTTGCATATTTGATAAGATATAAGGGATTTATTTTTTTCATTTAGTTTTAATTTGAGTTTTGAGTTACCATGAAACAAGACAGATCGCAAACTTTCGCTGTCGAAGTACTCCATGACAATGTGACATTGAGATTGAGAAAATGATACTGCCATTATACTAATTATATTCGGATGTCTCACTTTATCCATTATATTTATTTCGCGAATGATGTATTTATTACTGGTCGATAACTCTATAGTTTTCACTGCCACATCAATTCCTAACCATGTCGCACGTTTCACTGTTCCAAAAGCACCTTTACCCAACAAGATTTCGGAAAAATGTATATTTTTTTCGTCGATAACAGGGATCGAAAGATGCACATTGTGAACAGTTTGTCGATTATTAGGCAGATTTTCTTTAGATTCGAAATCATTTGTTAAAATATGAATTTTGGACGATGCAGCAGCACGATTTTCTGTAGTAAATTTAATACTTTTTTTACTACTCAATTCTACCGCACTTAAAAAATTGCGTTTTTTATTTACATTTTCTTTGGATTTGACTTTATTTGTTATAATATGAATTTTAGATGATATAGCAGCACTATTTTTGGTAGTGAATAGAATTTTTTTTACTACTGCATTTCTCCGCACTTGGGAAATTACGTCTTTTATTTCTATTTTGCTCAATATTCAGATCGTTCAACTTTGATGAGAAAACATTTTTTATCTGATTCACTGGCAATGAAATTTGGCTCATTTGTGATAATTGTTTGTCCTCTAAAAAACTATTTTCTGTCGTTTTTCGATTAGGTACTGATTTTTTCTGAGTCAATAAATATAATCTTAATGTTGAATTCCTTGAACGAATTTTTTGAACAAAATCCCAAAAGTTTTCTTCACTACAACTGCGAAAATCATCATAAATCTCTCCGTTGTAATTACCTATGTCAACGACCGATTCTTCGAAATATTTAGAATTCTCTTCGGTTTTCATTGCCTCGAGTATCATATTTTTCACTTCGGCAAGTCGATATTTTTTTGCTTGGTCCAATTCTATCGTCTTGGCACCTGCGATTGGCTCCTTTATGTGAATGAATTTATTTCTTTCATCTATCTTGTGTTTCCATCCGATATAAATAATTCGTTTTACATTTTTATTAACACCGACCTAAAAAGAATAAAGAAAAAGTTATTCCAAGAATTCCCTAGTGTACATAATAATGTAAATCTTCATTAATTCCTTCCGAAATCAGTGACGATAAATATTTTCTATTCAGGCAGAATGCAGGATTGATAAATTTTTCGAATACCTTTCTATGTCTTAAAAATGAAAACTGATAAAAATAAAAAATGCAATATCCAAAACCTTTACTTTTTTTTCAAAAAAATTCGTCCCAGAAGAATTGTTTCCTTCTCCGTCAATAATAGCCATTATTTCCTGAAATCTTTTCTTTTTACCTTCATTTTTGAAGTTCGGATCTGCAAGGTTACATTAACATAACTTAATTCAATTTACATTAAACTATCAGAATAAGGATACTCACGTTTTGATAAATTAGCATAAAAAATTCTGTACTCAATTTTTCCGGGGATTAACTGAAATTTATCATTAATTAATTCGAGACCACATTGTTCATTGTCCGAATCATAGTAGACAAGGCCACTTGCTTCTGGAAAGTAAGTTTTTACACTTTTAAAACGAACCCTGCAGTTTTGTGTTGGCAGTTTGACAGTACTATTTTCATCTTTCACTATAATGTGATTCATGTCTTCAAAATTA